GAAAGTAGAAAGCAGGAGGCCTAGGAGATCCTGCTGCCTTCCTTTGGAGGCTCTGGGCCATCGCTCTGACTTTAGTAGGGACATTTTATGTGTTCTCTGTTGAAGGAGCTCAGCCGGGCTTCTAACCTGAGAATGCCTACCTGGGTTCTACTGTGCTGCCTGTGGGCTAGATCGGGCGGGAACCTTTGGAGTGTGCTGTTTGCTCTCATAGTCACTCATACAGCCATTCAGCTGGAAAGTCTGTTGTGAATCTGAAATGTCAGTATCTAGAGAATGTTTTTCGTATCTATAATTAATAACATCAGCTTTAGTTTTCCTTCATGACATTACACAAGCTATCTCCATTGGATAAGCATCAGTTTCTGCTTTCCTGTATACAAATACTTAAAACTAAATTGAGATTTTTCTAAATTGCTTTTTCCTAAGTTGCTGATTTTTATAACTTTCAGCCTAACTCACATTTTCACTTTCTACCTATATATGTCAATCCCCTATGACTGTTGAATGCCATCTGCTCTATCTGCTGTTTCATTAATGTTTCCTCTGCCTTCGGCTTATGAATAAAGATGAAAGACTCTGCACTGACCCCTTTGCTGCCATTCTTGACATTTTAAACCAATTAGACAAAAATACAGCTTGTTATTATGACTCTTTGCCTAATACAGAAGCTGATCTTGTATTCTTACAACTGTGGTTTTTATCCAAGCCTATTTTGTAATGAAAATTTTATCTGACTTCATCAGATAAGTTTGAAGAGTTCAAACATATAACATCTGTGACTTTCTCTTCATCCCTCTATTCTATAAATCCATGAATAAAATCTAGTATGTCTACCCAGCATGAGATTTTTTTTTTTTTTTTAGAAAAATAAAACCACAAAGCTGGTAGGCTTTGATTTACACATCTTTGTGATGCTTTCTGTGGATTATCTGTTAATATTATACTTCTTTGTTTGAAAGTGAGGTAAAATATATGCTAGAACTAATCAGATACCAAGCTTTACAAAAGAAAAAGGAAAGAGAAAAGGAAAGCTGTTTTTTCTTGATTGACCTCTGCTTTCTGCTAATTTCATTTACATAAGACTTCTCTTTTTTTAAAATTATCAAGTCTAGGAAGAGGAGAGAATCCAAATAAAGCTAGTCCTTGTGTTCATTTTTCCCAATTATGAAGTTCTTCCTAGACTTGTTAATATGAAAATGAGAAAAGTCTTACGTAAATGAAATAAACAGAGAGCAGAGGTGGAGCAACAAATGGTTTAAGTAGCTCCCCTTCGAGGAAGGTCTGGAAAGGAGTTTAAAAAGAGTTTGTGCCATGGACAAAAGGCAGATCTTCGTGGAATGAACTTGGGTAAAAATTAAAGGAGTTGTGTGGGGCCTGCAAGATCAGGGATGACAAGGGCACTCCAGAGTCTTTGTCTCTCTTATTGTGGTTGTCGGTTGTGCAGGTAAACTAACAGAGTCCTCAGTACCCGCCATCACCGTGTGAGAGAGGCTCCAGAACAGAACAGCCTGGTTTTAGTTACTTGCCATTAAAGTGATTTTTCTTATTTTCCTGTCTATCCCATGCCACCTCAAATATACCAGAGTGTAAATTAGGCTCTCCTAAGAAGAATCAATTTCTATCACTTCTAATGTTTACATTCGGGTTTTACAATTCAGGGTCAGTTGATAAAACTTTAATTTGGCCAAAGAAAACCTTAAATGGTTTAGTATCCCTCTGGTTTAGACTCACAAATCTTTCGTGTTTGTGCTGAGCCAAAACCAAGGAGATACTAAGTTGAGTAAGATTTTTCTTTAGCCAAATTAGGTTATATCATCACAAGCTTGAGAAATATGAGCTAGAATGGTGACTTTTAATGAGCACTGAGTCTTGTGGACTGAAAACAGGAAAAGGCAGGGAAAGTATGGGCTCGGCCGCGGCCTTACTGTACCAGTAGTGATAGGGTTTTTTATCAAGAGCTTTATTTGCTGGGTTTTTGTTTTTGCTGCTAACAAAGTTATTGATATAGAGCTCTGAAATGTGTTTTCTTTTCTTTTTCTTTTTCTTTTTTTTTTTTAGTCAAGCCAGGCGTGTTTATAAAAGTTCAGCTTCCTTTAACAATACTTCTTTTATTTGACTTCTCCTATCCATTTCAGTTTTGATATAAGGTTCACTTAAACTAAAAAAGCAGTAATTAATATGGTCTGGTACATCTACCTTAGCTCCTTTATTTCTCTTTTATCTATCCACTTGCTACCAGCATGTAAATTTAAAGAGTTTCTTTTATATTTGCTGTATGCCTGGAGTGTTGAGCAAGGTCTTTTCTTTCTGCATGTCGGAACTCCCAACATATTCCAGTGCTGTAACCTCTGGGATCTCCATTAAGCTTCACAGCCCCTGGAAATTCCTCCATCAGAACTCATGAGTCCTTTGTACATGTACAGCTCAGTATTTCGACAAAGATCAAAAGAATCCCAGTACAGGTTTCTTGAGCTCCCTCTTTTCAGCTTTCTTCTCTCTAGTACCTTGTCCTACAAAGTGCACTCGCTTTAGTATCCTGAACTCCAGTCTTTTTTTTTTCCTTTCCTCCAACCAATGAGGTAGCTACACCTCATTTGGGTTTCACTTCCCTATGTTGCAATTTGGAAAATACCACCCAGCAGAAAACTGGCAGTGTATTATTTTATTCTTTCATGGATCACAACCCTGCACTATTACCCAATGTCTGAAAACAAATAAAATAGATGAAGCAAGTTATTTTATAGTAGTTTACAGGGGGAGGGTAAGTGTGATATCCATTATTCCATCGTGGCTGAAACCAGTTCATTGAATTGATTTTTATCATGGTAACTTCTTAATTTTTTTTCTTCACGTGGATTAGTATTTCTAGATGTTTGGTGATACATTTCCAGAAATGCCACAAGGAATTTATTAAGCTTCTAGATATTAGCTCATTTTTATGCTATTCTATAAGTATTCACAGAATCATCAGTAAACTTTTTATTTTTATTTTTTTTAAAGATTTTACTTATTTGACCGAGATAGAAAGACAGCACAAGCAGGGGAAGCAGCAGGCAGAGGGAGAGGGAGAAGCAGGCTCCCCACTGAAGAGAAAGCCCGATGCGGGGCTCGATCCCAGGACCCTGGGATCATGACCTGAGCCAAAGGCAGCCACTTAACCGACTGAGCCACCCAGGAGCCCCAGCAATAAACTTTTTAAAGTTCCTATTTTGAGCTCCATGTTGTAAGAGAAGCTGGAGAGTAGTATGCCATTCTAAGAACAGCATAAAGACTTGATTTTAACTCCAAAGAGTTTTCATATCCCTTCAGAAGACCAGGCAGGCAAACAGTTAGCAAAGAGATGATGGTAATAAACAGTGGAGATTGACATTGGCAGGATAACAATAATATCCAGCATTTAATGACCCATGCACAATTTGGGCTCTTTACATAAATTATCTGATTTAATCCTATAAACGATTCTGCGAGATAGTATTTCCATTTTCATCTTAAAAATGAGAAAACTGAAAAAGTTAAATAAAAGTTAAATAAAATATTGAGTACCACTGAGGCCAGAGTTCAAATCCAAGTCTACTCAGTGTTTCAGAGCCGGAGCTCATAAATCTTATACAGTAGTCTGGAAATGGAAATCTTGATAGAAATGGTCTTAAGTTACAGATTAAGATTTGTTAACAGGCAGAAAGCAAAGAGAAATAAAATGACCTCAAGGAATGATGGTGTGTAGAACCACCGGGGTGTGTAGAACCACATTTGATTGGAGCAAATGTTACCAAAGCGTATTTAAAATTACTTGAGTTGGGGGCGCCCGGGTGGCTCAGTCAGTTAAGCTTCTGCCTTCAGCTCAGGTTGTGATCCCGGGGTCCTGGGACTGAGTTCCTTGTCGGGCTCCCTGCTCCATGGGGAGGCTCCTTCTCCCTCTGCCTCTCTCTCTCTGTCTCTCATGAATAAATAAAATCTTTTAAAAAAATTATTTGAGATGAAGAATAACTAGATAATAGTGTAGGAGGAAAACAACGTTTAAGAAAGTTTGCCTTGGAGCAAAAAGAAGGATGGATATGATGAAAAAAGGACTGAGATCCTGGAGACCCTCTAGGAGACTTATTTATAGTAATCCCATGACTGATTAAAAACTGGACTCAAGGTGATGGCATTGGGAATGGTGGAGAAAAGTAATATAAAAGGTAGTTCAAGTGAAATATTTGTCAGAACTTGATTGCAGACTAAACTGAGGAGTATCAAAAGGAGCAAATCAAAAAGCCCACCACATTTTTGTTTGGAAAAGAGGGAGAGAATGGGAGTTGACTAATAAAAACAGGAGTAGGGAAGGATGATGAGACCCAGTTGACTCTGAGTTTCCTGCATAGCTATACAAATGGAGTGTTCTGTCAGCATTTAACAGTATAGACTTGGGGCACCTGGGTGGTTCAGTCGTTAAGCATCTGCCTTTGGCTCAGGTCATGATCCCAGGGTCCTGGGATCGAGCCCCGCATAGGGCTCCCTGCTCGACGGGAAGCCTGCTTCTCCCTCTCCTACTCCCCCTGCTTGTGTTCCCTCTCTTGCTGTGTCTCTCTCTGTCAAATAAATAAAATATTTTTTTAAAAAACAGTATAGACTTGTAGTTTTGATACAAGGACAGAAATGGAGAAATTTGAAATAATGTCAGTATTCATATATTCCCTTTGTGCTTCTTCCCAGATTCCTCCCATTCAGACTATAACATATTTCATTAGCTAACTGTGGATTTATTAAAGATAATATCAGGGGTGCTTGGGTGGCTCAGTCGGTTAAGTGTCTGCCTTCGGCTCAGGTCATGATCCCAGGGTCCTGGGTTCAAGCCCCCTGTCGGGCTTCCTGCTCAGCATAGAGCCTGCTTCTCTCTCTCCCTCTGCCTTCCATTCCCCCTGCTTGTGTGCTTTCTCTCCTCTTCTTTGTCTCTGTCAAATAAATAAATAAAATCTTTAAAAAAAAAATAATCTCAAATATCTGTTTCTACTTTACAGAAAGAAATTCTGGAACAACAGCAGCAAGAAAGAAATGATAACAATTTTCATGGTATTTGTATGTTTTGCAGTGAGGAATTTTTCGGGAACAGGTTTGCCTTTATGCATGTCTTTGAATATTACTGTTTTTCATCTGAAAACATATCAAAACATTCATAATGGTTATATAAATTAAGTTCTGTGGATTAGCTCAGGACCCTTTCATATATCAGCAATAATTTTTTTTAATATGCCTAACATCAAAGATGGACTATAGTTGCTCTAAGCAGAATAGGGGAATAATTTTTTCATTTTTTTTCTTTTATTTTTTTCCAAGTTTTTATTTAACTTCCAGTTGTTAACTTACAGTGTAATATTAGTTTCAGGTGTAGAACTTAGTGATTCATCACTTACATACAACACTAACTCCAATACCCGGGGCTCATCACTACAAGTGCCCTCTTTAATCCCTGTCACCTATTTAACCCATCCCCCCACCTCCTCTCCAGTAACCATCAATGTGTTCTATGTAGTTCAGAGTTGGTTTCTTGGTTTGCCTCTCTTTTTTCTTAAATGCCAAAAATAAATTTGTGTTTAATGTCCTAGGACTTTTTCAGTTGGCTGACAGGCAAGACCATGTACAACAAACTACTACAGACACACCCTTCTATATTGTTAACTCTAAACCTTTAGCAGTTTTTGATGTTTCATTTTTGAATATAAAAACTAATAAAGATTAGGGATGCCTGGGTGGCTCAGTCCGCTAAGCGTCTGCCTTCCGTTCGTTCAGGTCATGATCTCAAGGACCTGGGATCAAGTCCCACATCGGGCTCCTGCTTATCTGGGAGCCTGCTTCTACCTCTGCCTACCTCTCTCTCTCTCTGACAAATAAAAATCTTTTAAAAATAAATAAAATCAACAAAGATTAAAAAAAAAACCCAAAACAAAAACTGGGGTATTGATAATTCTTTACCACTCCCATCTGGGTCGAAAACCAACTGGCATACTATAATTCGGTTCTAAAACTAATCGCCCAGAGTTAGCATCAGGCTCTGCAGGTTAAAGGGCATCATCCCCAACAAGACTGCTTGCATTTTAGATACCAGCCACAAGTTCAGTTGACCAACTGACTAAAAATTCAAGGATTCTCACCAGTAATTTGCATCCTTCAGTAGTTTACAGAATGACTCACAAAACTCCGGAAAGTGGTATGCTTAGGACTGCAGTTTTGTTATAAAGGAACAGCCAAGTGAAGAGATCAGGAACAACCAAATGAAGAGATACATAGGGCAAGTTTTAGGAGGTTCCTGAACTCAGAGCTTCTGTGCCCTTTCCCCCAAAGAATCAGGACATATCACCCACCCAGCACATCAAGGTATTCACCAACCTGGAATCTTCACTGAGCTTTGATTTCCAGAATTCTTAATAAGGCTTCATCACATTAGCATGATTGATTCAATCATTGAACTTAATCTCCAGATCCCTCCCCTCTCTGAAGGTCAGGCTGGCTCAAAATCTCTACCTTCTAATCCTGTGGTTAGTCTTTTCCTTGACCAACCCCCATTCTGAAACTAGCTAAGGGCTAGTCGCCTTGTCAGCTTAACAAAGATAATCCTATCATGGAGAAATTCCAAGGATTTTAGAAGCTCTGTGCCAGGAATCAAGGACAAAGACCAGACAGATTTCTCATTATACAGCATTTGATATTTACAAATGAACATGACTTAAATACAAGTCATGAAGTTGTAACCTCTAGTAACTGGGAATAGTTCAGTGGCAACATAAGAGTGGACAGTCAGAGGGGTGCCTGGGTGGCTCAGTCATTGGGCGTCTGCCTTCGGCTCAGGTCATGGTCCCAGGGTCCTGGGATCGAGCCCCAGCCCCGCATCGGGCACCCTGCTCCGCATCGGGCTCCCTGCTCCGCGGGAAGCCTGCTTCTCCCTCTCCCACTCCCCCT